GATGAATTGTAGTTTTCATGTCTGTACTTTTTCATGATAGCGCACCCGAATCTGTGAATATACATCGGTGTCTGAGTTGCATTCAGGGTAATGTAGGCAGTGTGGTTGGGAAAGGGGATAACAAAGTGTGGAACAAAAAAAACCCTAAAACACACTAAAAAAAACCTCTGTTTATACAACAGTTTGAAAAGCTGGTTTTCAAACTGCTGAGGATGAATTATAGTACATTTGGAGGAAGTCACATCTGGTAGTCACATCTGTTATACGTGACCATCATTGACCCTGTTTGACCTACAGTGCGTATTTTGGCTTTAGTTAAGACATTTTTAATCCTCACGTCAGTACACTTCATTATTTATGCATTTAATTTACTTCTATGTGTAAACCATTGTGTGCATGTGTTTATATGCACTGTTCTGCCTGAGCTGTTTTCTATCTTGGTCAGAACCCACTCAGAAATCATCTTTTCAATCTCAGATTATTTTTTATTTCCTTAATAAATTATGAAATTTAAAAAAAAAACAAGATAAAGTAATAGTGATCAGAGGCACGGAGGCTGACTTGTGAAGCTTTGAGTGCTTAAACAGCAGGAGGACTCCTCAGCGAGTGGCTGTTTGTTCTCCTGCTTCTCACAAACAAGGTTATCTCCATGAAGGATGTGAGATGAGTAGAGACGAGAGAAAGAGAGGGAAACGTTACATAAGATCATCAGTAAGAAAAGCAGCGACAGCGTTTGTGTCCTGTTAATCAAAAAAAACTAAACAGTCATTTAAAAATAAGCCCACTTTTAAAGTTAATAATCTCCACTCGCGAAACTAAGTGACAGTCCTGGACTGTTTATATCCAGTTTAGTTTAGTTTAGAATTAATATGTTTACTACAGGGAAATTCCTCCCAGAAATCTACGTGATTATTTCTGGTATTTCATAAAAACACATTTTTCCTTGGCTCTGCCTTGCTGAAGGAATCGATCACCATTAGTGCATCTGAAACATCTGCGACTACGTCTTAATTTGTCTGCTCCGAGCTTCGTGTCACGTGACCCAAGGCGGCTGCATTGACTGAATGTTAAGTGACGCCTGCACTTTAACTTTCTTTTAAACTTAGGACAGCATGCAGCAGTCTTAACATAAGAGCTCCTAATGAAAGATATTTAACAGAGAGGATGAAAAGTAACAGGAGACGAACAACACTCTTTGCTTTCCTTTCAGACCATAAAGTCTTTTGTGATAGCTGGAAGCTTGTTTATACAGAAGAAGACTGACCTATTAAATATTAAATCTATTTAATGAATGGATGGATCTGGACTCTAATGCAAGCTCCAACATTTGATATTCAGTTGCAGAAATGTTAAAAACTTCTGTGTTTTGTCTACCAGGATAGGATCAGTTCTGCTCATGAAAATCAATTAAAATTCAAAAATGTTAATAGATTTCTTTCACACAGAGACACACACAGTCTCTCTGCCCACACACAACATGGTGTAGTGCAAGTTACCAGAATCTGAGTCTGAAACGAAAACCTGCTTGTTCATTTCTCCAAATCCACAGACTGTAGAAATGTTCATATGGGGGTGGCTTTAGGTTTGACGCAAGAGTTCAACCAACGTATGCTTCATCGGAGTAAGAACGACTCCCTTTGGTTGATTAGGAGAAAAAGTCTTGAGCAACTTCAGGTATGCGAGTGCCTCTATGAGTTGCTCTGGTTTGTGTAAATAAAATTGCGTAACAGGTTTTCAAACAGGTCAAGTCTGAACGTTTCTGTAACTATCTGTAATGAAGTCAAAGTACAGAGAACAGCACTCATATGGCAAACTTAAAGACAATATTTATGTTTTATAAGTATTGTATGTTTTTAGGAATTAAATAAAGTTTTATTTATACATGCTGTTTTTGTTGTTATTGGTCTTTTGCACACTATGGGGCAGTTACCTGCTGGGTTACTGCATTTAAGGGGATTTAAGGGGAAGGGGTTAAATCGTTCAGGTCAAAAATGCAACAGTTAACAATGTAAGGTTAGGCTGCATAACTGATAGTCAACTGGGACAAGAATTGCATGAAGAGGCGAAGGCAAAGTTTGGACTTGAGAGTATTTTGAGCGCACAGCTGTGGAGCACGCGTCAGAAACTGCTTAGGTAATGTGGTAAAGTACCAGCTTATTAGAAAGCTGTTATGGCAAGTCTTGATCACATGACCTCAGAAGCCTACTGGGGACATATGGATGTAAAAGTTGTCTGATGTTTGCTGGTGCTTGTCCACGCAGAGCTCCAAAAGCAAAAACCAGTGGACTCTGAAGCTAATGGAACTGAATTAACAACAGTGCGACACGTGAGTACTTAGAAAAATAGTTAAAAGTCTTGCAGCCATGATGAAATCCAGATCTGATGAGGTCAGAGCATGTTGCAATGGAACTCAGCTTGGGGGTATTTCTTAAGTGATAAAAAACAGGAGCAAACCAGAGATTTCACGTAACCATCCAGAGTGAAAGGAGAGTCAAAGGTCATCCCAAGGTTCCTGACAAAAAATGTAGCAAATGTAGCCAGAGGACCTAGTTTTCATTAAATCTGTCAGGAGCACAAACAAGCACTTCTATATTCTCTTCATTAAGTTGGAGAAAAAGGTCTACCGTCTAACTTTCAATGGCGCCTGAAGCTTAAAAATATTGTGTGGCTTAAAAGAGAGATACAACTGAATGTTATCTGCACAGCAATGATAGGAAAAGTTTTTAAAAGTGCTCGAAAAGTACTGAAGAGGGAACAAATATAAAAGAAACAATAAAGGTCCCAAAACAGAACCTTGTGGCACACCATAGACAAGAGAAGTGGAAACGGACCTGAATTATTACCCATCTCCACTTTTCTCATACACGATGGGTAAAATAGTTTCATAAAAATAATCGAGTACGCATATGTTGTGAGCAAAATGTTAAAGGAGACACTTATAAGTGAGGAAAATTACAAAATGTAATGGCTTAGGGTTGGAGTTGACTCAGCTCTCAGAGCGTTAAATGCCATTTTTCAGAAGCACACATTTGACTGTAAGCCAGTCAGGACTTGTTTAAACCGCTAGTGACTTTGTGTCTATGTGTATCTGCATCTTTTGCAATTTCTTTACTGTGAAGGTGTCATGACATTGTAATTTTACAGGTCAAAACTAGAGAAGATGTCTCAACAGCCACAATGCCAATGTCTGTCTTTGCTCAGTGTTTGTGAATTAGATCACACCCATCTTTAAACACCAAATTTTCATTTTGATCTCAGCTACGCACCTGTAAAGTTTCATTACTGCATCATGTGAAGGTTTCGACATTATCACTTGTCTGACGCAGGTCTGCAGCCAGGACTACTTTAGGTTATGTCTGTTACAGAATTCATCAAAAACTAAAAGTACAAGAAAACACAGCAAAATCTGAAACTTTACCTTTACCTTCACCCACAAAAAAGAAACACTTGTGAGAAAAATACAGATCAGATTTAAGGAGATTTTCTTAGAAAAGGTGGTGGGAGGAGGATACTTGTGTTAGCATTACAGTGAAGAAAGATTAAACAAGGAACAAGATGTGATTATGGGCAATAACACGAAAACGTTTAGCTCCTCGAAATGAAAGAAAACACAAGCAGGCACAGACATGCCTGGGAACGAGTCTGTAACAGTAGCAATTCCAGGAAATGCTGCAGTACAAAGCCTACATTGAAACCACAAAAAACTAAACTTGTTACACAACTTGCCAGCTATTTCTCCCATTTAATATCTTTATTACAGTTTCCCAAGGTGATATGAATAAACTGCTTTATCTAACATCCTGAAACCTGATCATTTTTTAATCGCACAGTCATGTGAAAAATAAAGTTTCTCACGGGACTCTCTGCAGTCCTGTGAAAAAAAAAAATCCCCATGATTAACTAGCTCATTAAACCACCTTTAGTAGGAATAACTTTATCAGTCTCTCACATCTCTGTGGAGGAATTTTGACCCACACTTCTTTACAACATTACATCCGTTCATTGAAGTTTGCAAGCATTTTTTTTGCACAGCTCTCTTAAGGTCCCGCCACAACATTTCAGTTCGGTCTGGACTTTGCTGCTGTGTTTGGAATCACTGACCAGTTGCACGACGCAGTTTGCGTCAGTATTTAGCTGTCAGATGGATGGCCTCATATTTGACTCTAGAATACTTTGATGTACAGAGAAGTTAATCATCAGCTTAATAACTAATAGGTGCCCAAGTTCTATGCTTGGAAAACAAGCCTAAATAATCACCCTCCACCACCGTGCCTGTTTGCTGCTATGAGGTGTTTGTACATTACAGCCAAACATGCCCAAAGGACATTATTCCAGAAGCCTTGTGGTTTGTTCAGATGAAACCTTTCAAGCCTAAGCCATGCTGTCGGGCTCTTTAACCCACACTGAATGCTTCAGCCCTGTAAACTGATGATCAGACAGACAGTGGATATGATTAGCAACATCCAGCTACTGCTTAGCCTTTATTTTCCTGTGGAACCAGAATTTTAAAAAAGAAAGGGGTTTCACTGGACTGTGGACTCACAGGACTTTTAAACACTGAAAACAGCAAATATTTGGTATTTTTATTTTATTTTCTAGGGTACTTTTATGCCTTATATGTGCAACCATTAACTCACTTCACTCACTTCTTCGCTGTCCTTTAAAGCAGTAATAATGAGTGATATATTAATCACAGTAATATACCATTCAGCAGACACTTGGTAACCGGCTGTTGAACACAGTGGAACATTTAGCAGCTAATTGATAGGCAGAATTCCCCCTCAGGTCGACTCTATGAGCAGCGCTAAACGCCAGTGAACTTTTGACCTGTATTTGCTCTAGCTGGATGGACTTGTAGGATGGATAAATAAGCAAGATGCACTGTGATATTTCAGTGTTGTTCCCAAGTGGCCAAAAACTCAGTGAGACTTAAAGACGTGTGTGCACTCAAAGTCTGGGTTTATATGTTGAGTCTGGTTTGCTGTTTGTGCTGAAAGTACCTGAAGCAGACGGTATGCCAGTCATTGTTAAGGGCCTGGAGGTACTGCTCATCGTAGATCCTCTGTTTGCATCCCGCGCACACGGGCAAACTTCCTCCAGCTGTAATGACAGGAGACCGACGTGCTGATATCACCATATTAAAGCTCATTAAACATAAAGTTATAAACAGTTCGCACAAAGAGATGTGTGTTTGTGTCTCTGTCTGTATGCCTTCTCCACCGCTTATCTGGCTATGCAAATTATCACTGCTGGTTTATATCCCAGCTCTAAAAACACACAACTCAAACAAACACACCACACAGCGTCTCCTCCACCGTTACCACCAGAGCAGAAACGATGTACCATCTGAAGGGGCATTTTTAATGAGCATACGGCTCAGCAGGGGCAAAACCACTAATTTGCTGCATTGCCCTGTTTAATAGAAAAACTCTTGTTTATTAAAAAAAATCATAACATTTAAAGAAACACAATTTTTTGCCTAGAATTATAGGATAATATTCAAACTTTGGCAATGAGAAAAATTGAAATATTATGACCAAAAGGCATAAAACATCCAGGTTTCTGAAGGTAGTTATGCTCAGTAATAAAAGGCTTTTATTTTACTTTTCCAAACCTACCTCTAATTGGATGTTTTATCCCTTTTTTCTAGTCATAAACTTTCCTTTTTTTTTTTGTTGTTTTAGGTTTTTCCCCCCACAATTTACCTGTACAAAAAGCCATAGAATGAGCCACAGCACAAGTATTAACGATGTTCTACCATAACCTTGCTCGAAAGGGTATGAGGAAACGGTGGAAACACTGTTTTGGCAGCTCTACAGCTGCTCTATAGTGTAATGGTTTACACATATCTCTATCACGCGAAAGATACCTGGTTCAGTCCCAGAGGAGAGACAGACCCACTTGGGTGTCACATCTAGTGTGAGAATCTGCCACGTCAAACATGTGGAGCTCCCTGCTGTGGCGACCCCTTTGTGAATAAGGGAGCAGCTGAAATGAGCTATTCTATTAAGCAAGCTTGGCTAACAAGTCCAAAACTAATCGAGTGCAGAAATCACGGTAATGATGATGCTGCATTGTATTTGCCTCGGAACTTCAGATTAAGGGGGGCCATTCCAGATGAAAATTCCCAACTGGAAACTCAGAAATTCCTACTTTCAAATTCAAATTTAACACACCATGAATGTGGAGGCGTGGGTGCGTGTTGTAAAAGCAGGAAACGACACAAAGAAACTAAAGACAAACTGAGATGATGCATAAAATGATGGCAGGTAGATGTACGCTTTTAAAATAATGTAGTTATCATCAAAACTGCTAATAACATAGTTAATAACATAGTTATTAGCAGGCTAATAACATGCCTGCTAATAACATTTTATATTTTCCTTACAAAATGCAAACTAATGAAGAAAAGTAAATTAAACAGAATTTAAACCAGACATCGGCTTTCTTCTACTTCTTTCCTGATAAGAGTCGTTTCCATGAGAAGAATCTTATTAGCTGCAGATCAAAGATTCCACCTCTTAGGAAAATCTTCATTATGATTAGAGTTTCAGGAAAAAAGCAATTTGGCAGAGTTGGGACGATTTATCCTGCAGTAAGGGTTCATCTGGTGCAAAGGGCGAGGCGGCGGCCAACGTTATGCTGTGTTAGATGCATTTGTTGCCTGAGTTAATTTGCCTAAAAAAAGTCACACGGCAAGACTCAGTGAGTAACAGCAAACACAAACATGGCAGCCAGTTGAAAGCATTCCATCCGTGGGGATGCTGTTTTGATTTGTAAAGAATAAAACTGCACAGATGCTACTGCTTCAGGTTCCCCCGCATTACTCTCACTGCTGAGCTCCTGAACTTGCGGTACACCCAAGAGTAACATCACGACTGTCACCTCAGAGTAACAGCCGAGCGTAGCACCTCTTCATCATGGCATTTCAACAAGAAGTAACAAGAGTACTTCTCCACATACAAAGCAGCTATAAAGAGGCCCAATTTCAACCAAGGTTAACTTCAAAAGTGCCACAATATGAAATCTGGATACTGGTGGAAGAGTCTTGATAAAACTTAACTCTGCACAACAGCTTCAATTATTCATCCATCCTGTGAACTGAAAGCCATTTTGGCAGAGCTTTGGGTGCTGATGTCTGGTGCTAATACTTTTCTTCTTCACTCCTCCAGCCTTCTCTCTTTAAACATTTTTTACCATCTTTTTTTTTTTTTTTTTGTATTTTTTGTAGGGATGTTGATTTAATTAAGGTTTGGTTCTAACACACAGTTTTTTTTTTTTCGCATTTTTTATTGTGGAGCATTTCTCTGCATGATCTCTTTCCTCCTGTTGACTTCAGAGAGGGCTGCCAAGGCAAACAGAAACGCACCTACATTCTGGCACAAACTGTAAAACCTGTGCAGGTACAGGTGCGTACGCCCCGCCCGCTCTGACCTAAAGCAGACACTTCCAGATTAGCTAACCACACTGCAATGCAAAGTGAAACCTTACATAGGACGCCCATTGTTCACCTCAGTGAAGCTGACTGACAGCTCGGTGTGCACAGTTATCTCACACCACATGCCAATATACACACACATAGATCAACAATGTGGTTTACCAGCTGTTCGAGCCATAGCTTCCTGAATCACTATCCAGAAAACAATGAATAAAAAAAAACATACAATTAAAACAGCTTCATTAATAATGAGATCAGAAGGTTATCTGGCTGCTTTAAACGATTAAATCTACACCGGTCACACACTAAGTTAATCATGGAGTCTGTGGGAGTCTTAGTTTGGTGCAGGCACAACAGGAAACTCTGCCATCTGTGTGTTTTCACACAGCATGAAGGAAGCTCTTAAAGGACAGTTACTTCTCATGTAACAACCTGTTTATAAGCACTGCATGCTGGATTATTGGAGAAGGCTGGCGGCAGATGAAGAGTGTGGTGGTGGCCTGAGGGTGAACGTTACATACAAACATGCTGGCCGCATCCACTCGAAGAATGGCTTCATCTGCGGCACAGCCTGGCGCTCCCTGCACACGAACCTATTTCTGTACAGTAAACACAGAAACGGTGCAGTGTGCAGCTTTTTTTTTTCTGTTGGAGCATCTTCTGCGTTTCGAGGAGCAGGGAGTGCGCCGTGGTCTCCGCATCGCCCGCCCCAAAAGCCGAAGCGCGTAACCAGCACGCAGGTCCTTACCTTCCTCCTCTCCCATGCGTTCGTCCTTCCAGGTGCAACAGAGCAGCATCAACCTCATTCACACGCGGAGCTCCGGGAGAGAGCCAACTGCCTCTGCTCGACGGATAAACGGTGTTCACCGACACACACCGCAACGCGCCCGGGGGTCGTGTCGCTGCGCGTCGGTCGCTCCCTGCGGCGGCCCACACAGCTTCCTTCTGCCCGCTGCCTGCACGTTTCTGCGGCGCTTCATTCAAGAGAGGCGCTGACCAATGAAGCTGCCGAGCAGTGCGGAGGAAACAGGGGGCTGGCCAACCACAAACACGCCCTGCTTAATAAAGTCTGGTGGAGGAGGGACGGAGGGGAGAGGGGTAGGTGGGGGGAGACGGCGCAGAAACGCCACCATAGTAACTACAAGATAACTACAAGTAGACAGAGTGCGCTCTTGTAGAAAGGCAGGTAAAATATTAACGCGTTGATGCGTGATAGTGGCGAAAGGGGTTGAGATATGGGATAGGTGGAGGTGCTGGAAGTAGCTGCTAAGTGTCTCATAGAAGTGCAAACAAAGTGTAAGCAAAGGGTGCAACATAACAAGAAGCTGGAACGAAGGGAAATAAAATGTAGTTGGCTGGTTTGAAACCCATGAAGGCAAATCTAAAAGCAGCTGCAGTGTAGTCAGCAGTATAAAAACTGAGGTTTTATTTGATGTCTAAATCGTGAAATTTGCTGTTCATGAGATTAACTGGGGCTTAATTTAGGAGCCATAAAATCAGTTAGCTCTGCGAAGAAGTGTAAAGCAGACACGAAACGGAAGCCTGAGCGCACAATTCAGAAATTACAAAATGGTAATTACTGATTTTAGTCATTGCTTAAATGCAACGCAGTCAACACGTCCATTTTCCTTTATGGTTCAGTGTAATACACGGATTCTGTGTGTACAGCATGATTATATCACCGAATCATCTCTGAATTTTAATTGTACAAAGCACAGAACCACAGCAGAATGCAAACATAAAAAATATTTTTAATTCAAACCTTCTTCAGTCTGGAATTTTTAACATACCTGCACAAAGAGCCACAAGTGAAACAGCAGCGTTTGTAGTGTGAAATATCAAAGGACCAGAGTGTATGAGCAATCAAATATAACTAGCTTCAGTTAAAAGAACCCAATCAGCCACCGTCTCACAGCAATTCTGAAACGCACAGAAATTAGTGCCAATTTCACACAACAAATACGGAGGCGAGTTGAGGTGCAGGTCTACCATGTGACACTAGAGTGGACATAAAATGGCAAACTCAAATTCAAATGCAGACAGACTATCAACATATTGGAATAAATCTGAGTGAGACCTATAAGACATGGTTCTGATTGGATATTATTGCCATTGGTCATGGTCATGTGATCTATCACAGACGATTTAAGATGGTGCCGTCCTACGTGTCATTATCTGAAGAAAAGCAGACGTAGTCGAAACGTCACACACTACTAGATGCAATAAATAAGGAAGCTGGAGCTTTGCAGTGTGTGTTAATTCTTTTCTATGTTTACATTTTTTCGGCTCTGCACCTGCTCCACGTGGTGGTGACGATGGATCCCCCCCCCC